GGTTCATAAACAAAAGGATTAAAGGATTATTAGGTAGCTGATTAATCCCTTTTATTGTGTGCATGGACAAGACTTTAGTCTGCAGATGCTGGCTGTCATCTCTCCCATTGTGTGCATGTGTGTGTACACATGTGTACATCAAACTGGCTTCTGTACCTATTTTGAGCCTCAAGAAGAAGTATGCTACTATTTTTATATTCATAAAGAGATTCAAAATTTAATTTCATATAGAGGTGCAAACTTTTTGAATACCAATTTTTCATTGTTAGAAAATAATTTTCATACTGGCTTGCAAAGATTTTTTCTTGAATTTTCAGGGGTGGTGAAAGGAGTTACTATTGTTACTTTCTAAATGGTCCAAAAATAACACATGGTAGTTTTACAACTACATCCGCAAGTATTTTGGCTGTATTTACCCTTGTAATGATTGTTTATCAAACAAACCTGATGGGATTTTATTGGCTAAAAAAAATATATAGGATTTAATTCCTATATATTCACATCCTGTCAGCTGGGGCTTCAGAATACACTGACTGAACCTCTGCATAGGGGAAAAACTCCCCCAATGAGGTGTCCTGGGTATGACGATAGACTACATCTGGTAGTGGGGCCTCTGATCTTTGAGGGGTGTGGAACCACCTCTTCACTGGTGAATTCCTGAATAAAAAAAATTGTTTTCATATATATTTCTTTATAAATTGGTAAATGGTAAATATTTCATTGTACTAGATGGTTCGCATTTTTAGAATGTTGTATAAAATTATTCTTGTAAATAAACAATTGAATAAATAAAATGTTCATTATTTTTGTTGTAAATTCTCAAAAAAAAATATATAAATTCACTTTCATATGTTTAAGTTTTATTAAAATTCTAATCATCACGTTAAAAACAATAAACATTGCCAAGGGAGTGAAGGTAGTACAAAATAATAGCAGTGTCAAGGGAAAAACAAACTTTTTGACACATTGTTTTATTGCAGGCACAAAGGTTAAACATTGCCAAAATCTTTTTATTCAAAAATTTATAAAAAAAATTGCAAAATTATTAAAATATGTGAACCAACTATAATGCAATATTTATTACCTACATTTTTTAAAAAATTATTTCACCCCAAGTAAGGCAATGAAGCCTCTAATATACAAGAGGTTGCTGAGTGTTAGAGAAACAAATATACTATTAAGGAGAGAATAATTAAAGAAGGGGAATTAAGAAGTCAGAAGATAATGATTGACATTGCATTTAAATTTTTGTAGATCAAAATTAATTGGGAAGCAAGAAATCTGAAGAGATTTTCGCAAGCGAGAAGTGTGAGAGAAGAAATTGTTAGCATAGAACTTATGGTCACATCTAGCCAGATCAACTGTAAAATGATGAGATCTTACCACCAATCTAGTACTGCACTTAAATTCATAAAGTCTAGGTACCAAAGAGGAAAGTTCATCAGAACAATTACCATGAAAATATTTATAGAAAATGCACAGGGAAGCTACGTTGCGGTGGTGAGAAAGGAACTGAAACTGAGATGCCAGGTCAGGATCAATAATATTGCAGATGCTTCTTTGGATTTTATCAAGAATCTCTAAATATATAGCAGAAGAATGAGACCAGATATGGCAGCAATATTCAGAGCAAGGATGAAGGGTAGACTTATAAATCTGTAAAATTGTCACAGTGAACCAACTTTCCTAGCTGCAGAGTTAGCAACTAATTTAATATAATCTTTCCATTTCATATCAGTGAAAACCAGTCAAAAAATGTTCTCTCTGATGAGTAAAAAGTGAGCAGTTTTGTTTTGAAGGTGTTAAAATTAACATGCCATCACTTGCCCAGGTTAACAACAGATCATAGGTGATTTTGAGATCAGCTGCCAATTTGACGTCATCAAAAAGAGCTTGGAGAGTAGCTATTTAATATTTAGATATTTTACAAATAACTATAAAAACAAGTTTTTTACTCTTAATTTTATAAAAACATCAATGAACTATAAAAGAAAAAAATCTGAATAAATATCTAATATTATCTATTTCACTTTTTGAAACAATAAACATTTGCTGAAGGAGTCAAAAGTGTATATACAGCAATAGTGGTGTCAAGGGAATTATAGATACATTGTTTCTTGTGGACACGAAGGTTAAACATTGCCAAAGTTATTTTAGACACAATGTTTTGGCTCAGTAACCTTTGCCTATCTTCAGGTATTAGGTGGACGAGGCAGTCAATACTCATACAACAAAAACAATCATCTATGAATAAAACAATTATAATTTATGAGCACACATCCTCAAATATATATAAACACACACACATATACAAACATGTCACTCCTTGCCTACATCACTACACTCATTAGTTTCATAAAACTCACCATTCATCTCTATCTAATGATGACTTAAATTTGAACCATATTTATTTTGAAATGAATTTTGGATAATTTCTGATGGAATTTCCTCCTTATCTGAGAAGAATTGTTATTTGAAAAAGTTGATCAATAAAATTAATCAACACAACTGTTGTCTTTAATATATATATATATATATATATATATATATATATATATATATATATTAAATTAAATACCATAGCTGAGAGTTAAATGCAAAAGAAAAAAATTAATAATGGATAGCTACACACGGTTTTTGCCATACCAGTTGCAGAACAGAATGGAAAATACTTAGGAAATAAAAGTGATTCTCACTGTTACAGTGCATTTCTTGCCTTATTTAATTGTAATATACAGAAAAAATATCTGTGAATATGAAAGGATTATGATAAAAATAAGCAAACATAATGTTTGTAATTTATTCAATCATTTATATATATATATATATATATATATATATATATATATATATATATATATATATATATATATATGTATGTGTATGTGTTCATACAAGAGCTTTCTTTTCTGGACACAAAGTGTCTAAAAACTGTCCAAAAGTTCTCTATATCCAAGAGCTTTTGGCTATTCTTTTAGCCATTATCAAGGAAGATTTTTTTTTTTTTTATTTTTAACTAAATGTGTAGTTTTTTTTATGTATGTGTCTGAAGTAATAGGAATGTTTTATTTTCCAAACACGGTCAGAATGTTGTGGCCGTGTTCATATTTAATGTTATTGAGTGTTGGTCTTTATTTTTATTATTAGGGCTCCCATTATTTTAATCTTTTCTTTACATAACCAAAAACATTTTACTTTCAGAAACATAAAACATCTGGCACCCAGTATTAATCTCACCTTATTTAATAACAAAAATAATGTGCTAAAGCTTTTTATAAATAGAAAGACACCAACTTGAATTCCTGCAATGTTCTCTTTCACAGGGCATGGAATAAACATATACATATATATATATATATATATATATATATATATAGTTAAAATGTATTTATACATATATATAGTTAAAACGTGTATTTCTTTATAATGTTTCTAAGTGAAAAATAAAAAATTGTCAAAAATAATAATTTACCTGCAAGATCCAAATCAAAGAGAACAATTTCTTATTTATGAATTCGCAAGTACCTTAAGGAACAATGTTCTGAATCAATCCAAATTAGTAAATAGTAATATTGGACATGCTACAACATGCCTAACAAGAAGATACATTATATCTCTCTGTCCCTAGCTCAATTAGGTTTCATTCAAATACACATGGACCAAAACTCTATGCACAACATACTCATTTATAATACAAATATAATAGCCTTGTACACATGAAAAAAAAAAGCTGAAAAGAATGGAAGCATTATTAATAAAAAAGAAAAAGCCAATACTCAATAATATCAACTGTCAACATGGCCACATTGTGCAGACCATGTATGGAAAATAAAACATTCCTATAAACAATCCATGTATTCAGTTAAAAATAAAAATTCATCCTTGAAAAGTATAAAAGTTTAGGTGAAAGCACTCAAACATACAAAAACATTTGGACAATTTTTATATAATTTACACCCAGAAAAAAATTATAAGAAAACTTAATCACAGTACCTGGTCAGTCATTTTTAATGAAACTTTCATATATATATATATATATATATATATATATATATATATATATATATATATATATATGCATAATATGTAGCCTCCTTTGTAAATCACTAGTGGGTCTTAAATGCCACTTAAGATTATCAGACAAACTTTCATAACTGAATCAATAAGCTGTCAGATCCTCATATGTCGAACCGATGGGAGTGTCCATTATTATAATTATTATATGCATAATATGTATATGTATAAAATTTCTATATATATTATATATGCGTGGTACTTATTGGAAAGTGCTCAATATCAGTGATAGAGCTGACATATTTAGTTGTATGGATATGAGTTTGTAACCCTGGGTTTCACGCTTTTGCTTACATTAGACAAACTGGTTTATTATTTAAAAATTGGATCTATTATATATATATATATATATATATATATATATATATATATATATATATATATATACATACATATATACATTTGGACAGTTTTTGTATAATTTATCTACTGTAAAGAAAAAGTTATAATGATAAAAATATCATATGATAAATTATATAAAAAACTTAATCAAAGTACCTTGTCTGTCATAATGAAGCTTGCATATATATATATATATATATATATATAGCCCAAATTGCCTGAAGTTACCAAAAGGTTTAAACCAATGTAACATGATCAGCAGATCTCCTAATTTTTTAAATATATATAGATGTATGTCTTTTAGAAGTGTGTGTGTGTGTGTGTGTGTGTGTGTGTGTGTGTGTGTGTGTGTGTGTGTGGCTAAATCAAATGGAGGAGGAGGAAGAGAAATGCCCACATAAAATTAAGGGAAATAAATTGGAATATAAAAAGAAAGGTGAACAAGGGAGGTAACTCTGGTTGCTGTAGGTGTCGCTGCAGGTTCGGTTCGAAGACGGTAAAATCAGAAGCGAGTCGTTTTGTGATGGGATATCGAAAAGGAAGAACCATTTCCATCTTGCGACCAAATTGGTATATTTTTAATTATGGAGGTTGGTATTACTACCTGATCTTTAACATCTCAAAAAGGAAATATGATTCTCTCGTGTGATCTTATTTCATTGTGCTGACTTTTCGGTTTTGTTCTTTTAACTCACCTGAACCAAACATGTCAATTTCTTCTTTTTTCTTTCTTTTAATCTCATTCATTTCACTGCCTTTTCTCCATCGGAAAATGCTGCAATGTTTTAAGAAGAGCGTATATTTTGGATGTAAAGTGATCTTTCTATTTGTTAATTAAATAATTTGAACTTTCCTTCTGCCAATCAAATTTACAGGTCTTCTATTTCCTTCCTTCCTTCATTTTATTTTCTAGAGAAAAATTGCCTTGAAGGCGATAAATCGCGAATGTTAAAAAAAAAATCATTTTGGTTGGATATTGAGGTTTCCGAATTACTTTTTGATCTTGTTATTATATAATGTTGAATTAAAAACCATTTTTTATTCATTCATTAAATATATCTCCACTTCATTCGTTATCATTAACTCATTTTTTTTTTTTTTTTAGTTTTTAGATTTCAACTCATTTTGAAAATGGGAATGATTTTTTTTTTTAATTTTAAAATTTCAAAGCATCCATGCATCGTTAAGTTAAATAAATTTAAATTACTTATTGTCTATATTTTAAAAAAAATCACTTGTTTTATTCTGATCAAATGTAAATTTGTTGTCTATTTCCTTCCTTCATTCATTTTCTACTTTCTGTTTCTTTTTTAAAGACAATCATCTAACAATGTTTAAAGTGTATTTTTAAATTATTAAATATCTTCTTTTTTCTGTTTTTATTTCGTAAAAATTAAAGTAAAATTTCTTGATTAAAAGCCAACAATTACAGATATTTTTTTAAAATACCTATTTGTCTACGAAATGAAATAGGATTATTTGGAACAAACATCTGTGTTAAAAGTGAAAAAAAAAATGTAAGCTTTTCTTTTTTAAATTGATGTATTGTAATAAAGAAAACGGAGATCAATTTATAAATATATTCTTTTAATTAAAAAACGATTTATTTTAAAATTGAAGCTTTTTTAAATTACATTAAATCAGAAATTAAAGGAAAAATCCATTAATGACAAAAAATAGCTACAATTATAAAGTCTTGAAAATGGCCTCGTGTCATACAAGAAGAATACCTTTAATTTTTTTTTGTATAATACATTTCTCTGTTTTTTTCTTCTTTTCTCTGTCTATTTGTCCTTTTTTTGTTATTTATTGATAATCATTTCTTCATAGTTTCCAATAAAATTACTTTGATTATTGAAGCCTGGATTTTTCTTCAAACTTTTATTGAAAAATAATATCACCTATGTGATTTAGTTTCTTTTTTTTTTTTTTAATCTTTTGTCCTTTTTTTATATTCTGATTTTCTTATACATAATTTTTAAACTTAAAGAACATATTTAATTTTTAAATTTAATTGTCTGTATTAATTTTAAATTATCTGTATTAAAAATTCTTACCTTTTCTGCTACATAAGGAAAATCGGCTAAAGTAAAAATGTATGAAAATTGAAAACTTTTTAATGCTAAATTCAAATTTTTAATTTAAAGATATTTGAGGTGAACTGTAAAAATGAAAAAAACAAAAGAACATTTTAGTTTGAAAAAAATGAAAATGTTAAAATATTTTCACAGATATGTGAAAAATAATAAATTTGAAAATGTTAAAGAAAAAATTTGGAATAATACAAAATATGAGTGAAAAATGAGAAAAAATGAAATTTATGAAATTAGAGAAAAAACATACTGCAAAAGCAAATTATCTTTTGATAAGACAGTAAAAAAAATCTCTAAGAACATTAATGAAAGTAAGATTTTAAAAATACCTTTTTTTTATTTGATCTAATTTTAAATTTTATAAGGTAAAAAAATAGCAGTAAAATGTATCAACAAATGTTTGAATGAGATCTTTATGAACTCTGATAATACACTTTATTATTTTAATAAAAAATATAACAGCTAACAACTGTTTGATTTGTACGATAGAAATAGAAGAATATTATGCATCTTTTCATTATGGTTTTTAAAATAGTCTTATTTAGTATTTGACTTTTTAGTGCATCAATTTGATATATGTAGCTACACATACACATACTATTTATAATGTTTAATGCAAAGTGAAAAGATAAATTAAGGGCACACACACACACACATATATATATATATATATATATATATATATATATATATATATATATATATACTTTTGAGATTAAATTTCAGTTTAACATGATCAAAACAACATACATTTATGAAATTCCATGATTGTTGATTTCTTTGAGTGGAGCTGAAAAGTTTAATTTTTTTTTTTTTACTGATAAATTTACATCATTTCATTAAAGTTATTTTTTTTACAAAATTGGCAATTTTTGTTTGTAAGTATTTGGTTATAATAAGTTTAAATCAAGCTATTACTGATAATGGATAAGATTTTGTATTTAAGTAATGTATCAATAAAAAAAAAAGTTTTGTTTTATGTCTTTAACATTTTTTTATCTGTTTTATTTCATTAATCCACATTTATCTGCTGTTAAAAGTGGATCTGTCAAAAGGAACTTATAATTTATCTTTATTGATTAATGATCTTCTTAGCTTTTTTAAGTGAGAAATGTGTTGACAAAATTAAATAAGTTAAAAAACATTGAAATAAATGAGGACATATTTTATGAATTTTGTCAGATTTATCATTATTATTATTTTTACTATTATTATCTGAATTTTCTTTTTTAATTCATATCAATCCATGCAAGGCAGTAAAGCCACTAAGACATATTTTTTATTATAAAAATGGTGGTTATTACATAAAAATAAGATGCTATTATTAGTTTAGGATGTCATTTCAAGTACAAAATAATTCTAAAAACATGTCTTATGTTTAATTCAGTTAATTAATTTTATCTGTTCTTAATGTATTGTAATTAATGTATAAATAAATTTATAATTGTTTTTCCAATATGCAGTCTTTGTAGAACATGAAAAACAATGGTCAATGAAGCCCACTTTTGATGATCTTTTTTTGTTGTTGCTTATTGTTCAGAATATACAAGAAAAATTAAGAAATAACGCTAATTATTAGCCGCGTTATGTAAAATATTAAATATTCTCTATAATTATATAACTCTTATCACATTAAAAAAAGTCTTCATAATGACACCAGCATCACACACACACACACACACACACACAGTGTGTATGTCTTTTCTTTTCTCTTGCACACATATTCGTTAATTTCACTAAACATCTGCTACTAAGTGGAGGGCACTCACTACTGCCAATATTTGAAAAAAAAGTCGATAATTAATTATAAAATTAAAAGTTTGCTTTTTATTTACGATGCCTCATATAGAACATACTCGTTAAAAAAAGAAATACAAATTTTACGTTTCTCCCAAATTCCGGGAAAAAAAAGCCTCAGCACCGAATTTAAATTAAACCGGGAAAGCTTTTTCTGGAACCTACACGATGATTGAAGGCCTTTTCTTTCCGCTTACCTTCTGTACAGTTTTACGATAAAGAGGTCATATGATCAAACCCCTCTTTTTTCCCCCCCTGCTTTATCTACAAATAATATTCTCTTCTTTTCTTACTCTTATGATGAAATGAATAAAATCATACCTGTCATTTTTGACAGTATTTTAATTTAAAGTTTCCGATGGTCATTTTTCAGAGCCTAATTCTTCCTCATCTGTCCTTAAAGGTCAGGTCTTATTGTCGCTATCATCACACTTCTTCTTCGTGTTATGAAGATTCTTGACAAACGAAGGAAAAATACATTTATTTATTTTATCTATTTTTTTAGTTTTAGACCATCTGACCTGTGATCATACTCATGTCATTATTCGTTCAGTCGAAAAGCACGGATTTTTTTTTTAATGATCTTAAACTCTTGATGGTTTTTGAAAGTCATAACGCGCTTTTTTTACTTTCTTTTTTTTTTTTTTTTTTTTTTTTTTAATGAAACTTGAAGGTATTGAAATGAAAAGTTATTCTTCTTGGTCTTTACACTAATTATTTTAATTATTTGTCATTGTAATTTTTATTATTATTTTTTTTTTACTAAAAAGAAGAGGTTAAAATTTTAATTAATCATCCGATGCAACCTCGTCGCCAGGGTGTTTCGAGTTGGGGGTGGCCTTTGTCAGGGGGTCCGCGAGTAAGAATTTGCACACTAAAAATTTAGTTCACGACACCTTGTCTGGTGAAGGGTCTGATCTCCGTTCAAACTCCACCCTAATTAAATCAATGAGACGTGCTTCGTCTTCTTAAAATATTTTTTTAATTGAAAAAAAAATTTTTTTTTTTTTTAAAAATCATTTTTTTACATTGTGATTTCACGTAGGTAATGAATTAATTTAATAATTATACATTTTTGCTACCTATATTATTTCTGTGGGTGGATTATTTTTTAATACGGGGCTCTCAAATTTTGCTTAGCGTTATTGACAAATGAACAATGAAAGTAACTTAACAATTTTCTTACTGAATTCAATTTTTTATTTAATTGACTTTTCTTTTTTTCTTTGAATTAACTCTCTTGTTTTCTGGAAAACTAGACACATCGATCAACTTACAATTTAAACACCTAACAAGACTGTCCTTTTGTTGCCGACAGTTTAACTTGTCAGTATCAGTATCACTGATTTTTTTCATTCATAAATTATACAATATCACCAGCCTTACAGTTTCTCACTCACTTTTTTAAATTTTTTTTTTATCCATCTCTTTTTTTCATTATATATATTTTTAGCAATTTTTGAAGAAAAAAAAATAATTCACTTATTTTTTTTTTCGCTGTTTTTTAATGTTGCAAAAAAAAAACAAAAAAAGAAAACATTTGTTTGTAGTTGGGCCAATTATTACATTGTACGTTCAATTTTTTTATAGTTTCTTATTGAAGATTAAAAAAAATTCATCATAAAAATTTTTTTTTTTATTCTTGCATTAAATTGCAACGAAATTGGGTCAGTAATAAATTCCGACTGAGAAAGTAAAAT